GTATTGATAGCTCTGACAGTTTTAGATTTAGGTATTATATTTTCAGAAAAAGAGAATAAAAAGTGAGTTTAGGTGTTCAGGTGTTCAGATTCTGGTTCCTTCTACTTCCACCCCCCCCCATGTATTAGTCATCTGCTTTAATGCTAGCACTGAAAAGTCTGATCATAGAATGGTCTGTGTTGGAAAGGACCTTAAGATCTTCTAGTTCCAACTCTCCTCCCATAGGCAGGGACACCTCACACTAAACCATGTCACCCAAGGCTCTGTCCAACCTGGCCTTGAAAACTGCCAGGGATGAAGCATTTACCACTTCTTTGGGCAACCTATTCCAGTGCCTCACCACACTCACAGTGAGGAACTTCTTCCTTGTATCCACCCTGAACTTCCCCTGTTAAAGTTTTAACCCGTTACCCCTTGTCCTGTCATGTAGTCCCTAATTAAGAGTCCCTCCCCAGCATCCTTGTAGGCCCCCTTCAGATACTGGAAAGCGGCTGTGAGATCTCTACATAGCCTTCTCTTCTCCAGGCTGAACAGCCCCAACTTTCTCAGCCTATCCTCATACAGGAGGTGCTCCAGTCCACTGATCATCCTCGTGGCCCTTCTCTGGACTTATTCCAACAGTTCCATGTCCTTTTTATGTTGAGGATACCAGAACTGTACACAGTACTCTAAGTGAAGTCTCACAAGAGAAGAGTAGAGGGGCAGGATCACCTCCTTTGACCTGCTGGTCATGCTCCTTTTTATGCAGCCCAGTATACATTTGGCTTTTTTGGCTGAAGCTGGCTCATGTTAAGTTTCTTTTCAGCCAACACCCACATAGCCTTCTCCACAGGGCTGCTCTGAATCTCTTTGCCCAACCTGTACCTGTGCCTGGGATTGCCCCTACCAAGGTGTAGGACCTTGCACTTGGCTTGGTTGAACTTCATGAGGTTGGCATTAGGTCACCTCTCAAGTGTGTCAAGGTCCCTCTGGATGGCATTCCTTCCCTCCAGCGTATCAACCGAACCACACAGCTTGGTGTTGTTGGGAAACTTGCTGAGGGTGCACTTAATCCCACTGTCCATGTTGCCGATAAGAATGTTGAACAGGGTTGGTCCCAGCAAGCAACCCCTGCGGGACACCACTTGTTACCTGTCTCCAGTTGAACATTGAGCTGTTGACCGCAACTGTGTATGGCCATCCAGCCAATTCTTTATCCACCTGGTGGTCCATCCATCAAATTGATGTCTCTCCAGAGACAAGGATGTTGTGTGGGACAGTGTCGAATTCTTTGCAGAAGTCCAGGTGGATGATGTCAGCTGTTTTGCCCCTATTCATCGTATAAGGCCACAAAATCGGTCAGGCATGACTTGCTCTTAGTGAAGCCATGTTGGCTGTCACCAACAACCTTGTTGTTTTTCATGTGCCTTAGCATGGTTTCCAGGAGAAGCTGCTCCATGATCCTGTCAGACGCAGAGGTGAGACTGTCTGGTCTTTAGTTTCCCAGGTCTTCCATTTCTCCTTCTTGAAAATGGGGTTATATTTCCTTTTTTCTAGTTGTTGGAAACTTCACCTCACTACGATGGATTTTCAAATATGATGGACAGTGGCTTAGCCATTTCATTCACCAGCTCCTTCAGGACCCACAGATGGATTTCAGCAAGTCCCATGGACTTGCACACATTCAGGTTCTTAAGATGGTCTTGGACCTGATCGTCTCCTACAGTAGGCCTCAGGTCTTCATTCTCAGTCCCTGCATCTGCCTCCTGAGACTTGAGCAGTGTGGTCAGAGCACTTGCTGGTGAAGACTGAGGCAAAGAAGTAACTTGAGAACCTCAGCCTTCTCCAGGTCCAGGTTAGCCAGTTCTCCTGTCTCCTTCTGGAGAGGACCCACATTATTCCTAGTCTGTCTTTTGTTAATGCCATACCTATAGAAGCCTAATGTAGATAAATATGCAGGTTAATGTTTAAAATTCTCCTTTGTGAAGTAATTAATTTTTTTATAAAGTGACTTCTTTTCCTTTCAGATTTGTGCATGTAATGTGACAGTTACCTAGCAGAATTTTGCTATAGCATAGGTTGTTAGGTTATTCAGCCTCTTCCTAATACTATTCAGTTTAGGTAAGCTTTTTTGCTAGGGTCTGTCTCATTGTAAGACTGACAGCTGTCGCTTGGTTGTTCCTGTGTTGGAGTTGTCTTCTTGTGGATTGGACCGGGACCCTCTGGCTTTAAGTTTATGTTTTTGTATGAATTTGGGTTGCAGCTGTGGGGTGTCTGGTCTTGCATCTAGAGTCATGAGAAATCTGGAGGTGAAACCTTCACTTTCAAGTTTGAATCCTGTCATCTTCCAAGTCTCTCCATACCAGAGGGTTTCTTGTTACTGGCTTCTGATGGTTTCCCTGGTAGTCTAAATAAACAGTTTACAAACCTGTGATGTGTTTATATGCATGTCAGATGACACAAACTGTTTCAAGATGATGCTTAAAAAATAAAAATTCTTTAATTTGTATGTTTTTCCAGAGGAGATCGGAAGTATTTCAGTAGTTTCCGTGCAGGCCTGAAGAGAAGCCGTTGGCTGCCACTGCCTGTCACCCCAATACAAGAAGCAGTAATGGAGAGCATGTTCTTTTCCCAGGATCATGGGCTATGTAAAAATTATGCCGAAGAGGCTGTGTTACTTTTAATCTTAAAACATTAATAATCTCATTTTTCTTTTGGAATCCTCTTCGTTCATAAAGTAATTTAGTAGTATGAAGTCCAATAGTTGAAAATTTCTACAAAAATTGCAAGTATTTCTCTTCTGTCACTTTCAGTGGCCATTAGGGAACGTGAATGTTTCTTAAATGATGGAACTGAAGGCAGGTGTTGATTTGATCTTTATGGCTATTTGGTCTTTATGGCCATCTATACATATACTGACATCTGCTCTTCTTTAACTGCTGTTGCTTATTCAATTACAAACAAAATGATTGCTTAAAACTAATCCTATTCTAGTATACTATTGGTATATTAAATTTTGAGGGGGATTTGCTCAAGAAAAAGGTGTGATTTTCTAAAGGAACAAAGTTAAGCCTGTATAATAACGGCAATAAGAGAAAACCCGTGCAAAAGCTTGAGTTGAATTTATTTTATTTACAGTTCCTTACTTTGCAGTTCTTGGAGGTCTCAAACTGCTACCTCCAGTGGTTTTCAACAGCAGAAGCGGAATGTTGCTTTAAAAAATGCTAACTCAGCAGAGTTAAGAGCAGTTAGCCTGAAGGCAGGGGAGAGGCTGAAGTGAACATACAGGCTTTTTCTTACCTCAGTTCCTCAGTTTAGTTTCAGTGTTGTCATATTTACTCAAGTAAACAGTTAACTGAAATTTTGATTTTAATGAAACTGGAGAAACAGGAAATTCACATTGTAGTTCTGGTATTAATTTTTAATGCTAGCTTTAACTTCAGGTTTTGGAACATTTTTGCATGGCTGATCATGCTTTTGAATGACTATATCCTAAAGATAAACATAGAACAAGCTTTGTCTATGCTACTGTGTTATTTTAAAAATGTTTCCTTATCAGTCCAAATTTTTATTACTTGCACTTGGTATATTTTATGTCTAACCAGGTATCAGTGAAATTCCCCTGGTATAGATTTAGTTTTCTATTTCTAAGATGGCTTATATCTATCAGAGGCTCCTTTTAAAGACTGAATTAGAGATACATAAATGAAATGCTCCCTTCTGCAGCCATTAATTTCAATGTTAATGATGGTAATAGCGGAAATAATCAGTGCTATTTCCTCTGTCCCATTTACAAGCTTAGGAAAAATCTATGTCACTAATTTGTTTATATCACGCATTTTGCAAACTAATTTAGTAGATGCAGTAGTACAAATAATAATTTAAATAGCACTATAGATAAAAGGACAGATTCTGCCACCTTTGTATATATTGTTATGCTCTACTTTGGAAGCAATGCTTTTGGGTTTTAATAAGATACTGTAAGGGTAGGAATCCACTGAAGCAGAACTGTTTGTTTCCCATAGGATTTAGTTGTATAGTTTTAAATATGTTGTACCATTTTATGCTTTCTGATATAAGTGGCTGTGTATAATTAATGGGAGAGCTTTTTCTTTGAAAATACAATAATCTAATTTTATGACATTGCCTTTCATCTTGCTCCCATTCTCTTTCTCCCCCACAGATGCTCTGTTTCTTCATTGTGTGTGTCAAAAAGCCTTAAAATTAAAAAAATCTGAAGGAGGTAAAAGAGGGCTATTAAATAGTCAGGTATGCATTGTAAAACAGACAAGGCGATAACCACACATTTTGTAGCCCTTCTCCCCATATTTTATTCATGATTTTTTTACTGTAACATCCATATTCTTCACAGTACAGTTCACTGGAAGATAAAATTCCTTTCTCTGAAGACATTATAAACTTAGGTTTTCAGAAATGTATTATGTTAAAGTTCCTACCAAACTCAGCTAATAACTAGGAAACACAAAGTATAACAATTAAATTTGAAAGTAAACAGGCATTAAGGTGTCAGAAAAATTCAGTTGTTTTTTTGTGATTTAAGTGATTCTTTTTGTGAAGGTTATGGCCTTCTGTCTGTCATATCTTAATGATTTCAATGTGGGAAATCATTAACAGGAATCAGTAAGTAGAAGACTGTGTAGTCAGCCCAAGATTTGACAGTGACAAGGAAATATTTAATAACGCCATGAGATAATGCCCTGATAACAAAAAAGGTATTTTCTGAAAGCTTTCCTTAAAAGCAGGTTTTCCGATGGGCAAGAGCATTAGTAAGTTTATTTTCTTTTAGTTTGCTTCTGTATGCTGTTTTGTCTGTTCCTAGCTTTTTTGCCTGGACAAAACAAAACCAACTAAACCAGTAACAGTCCATGCTGTTACTGGTTTAGACTTACAGATTTGCTGACTACCCTGCTGGTTGGTGCATTTTTTTTTGAATGAGTAAGAAAATGAGCTTGAATTGTCATTCCTTTGACAAGACATTCAAGGGCTCTTCTTTATCTGACTGTCCTGGGTTCAGCAGTAGCAGTCATTTTTCTCCTCCTTGGTAGCTGGTTCAGTGCTGTGTTTTTGACTTCCAGTCTGGGAACCTGCTGAACCCAGGACACTGATGAGTGTTGATGACAAAACTTGGACCTTTATATGTTCAAAAGCTTCACCCGCTGTCATATTTAGTGGAAATTTGCTAAAAAGATTAAGAAGTTATGGGTGGGTAACAAAAGGTATAATTTAAAAAACATGTTTCCTTAAGAATTATTATTTTAAGTAACTAAATATGTCCCAAAATGAGCTAACTGAGCGTATGCTTTTATTCATCTGATGTTTTTTTTCTGTGACATTTTTGTGTGGTTGATAAACACATTGCATGTACATTTTTAGTATGGTATTTGTCATATTCCTTCAATTTCTTGGTGAAAGGTCAGTATCCTCTGAAAAGAAGTCTTTGTATAAATTGCTTATTGCTTTTTGAAGGCAGTGTGAATTCTTTAGTTACCTAATCTATCCCAGAGGTTCTAAGGAAGTAAACATTCACAAGTATTTTAGGAATAGTAGGGAGTATGGTCTTAATCGTATAATTAGTAGAGGGAGCTATTTCAGCCATGTATGCAGTTAATAACAGCAAAAGGTACTTTTATCTGGGATTGGTAGAAAATACTCCCCCTTTTTTCCACTTCAGTTATTTAATAATTTCAACTTTTCTGTTTGCTTATAGATTCCAAGGTTCTTTTCATTCTTTCATATGAGAATAAACTTAGGAGTATGTCAGTCATATGTATTTTTCACACTCATTAACTTATTGTCGTGGTTTGAGCCCAGCTGGTAACCCATAAACACGCAGCCACTCGCTCACTCCCCCCTGCCCCTTCCTCTCCCTGCTCCCAGAGGGTGGGAAAGGAGAATCAAAAGAACATAACTTCGACGGGTTGAGATAAGAACAGTCCAGTAACTAAGGTACAACACAAACCACTACTGCTGCCCCCAGTAATAATAATGATAAGGGAAATAACAAGGGAAGAGAATACAACCGCTCACCACCCGCCAACCGATACCCAGCCCGACCCAGCAATAATCTAGTCCTTCTGGGTAACTGCCCCCAGTTGATATACTGGGCATGATGTGCTGTGGTATGGAATACCTCTTTGGATAGTTTGGGTCAGGTGTCCTGTCTCTGCTTCCTCCTGGCTTCCCCTCTTCCCTGGCAGAGCGTGAGAATTTGTACTTTGGCCATCGTCCCCCATACCAAAGAGGCTTTAACCACTTGGCTTGCTTAATTGCAGCACGTTTCACAGTTGTGAATCACCTGGGCAATAGTGTCCATTTCTTAAGTCCACCCCTCGATCACGAGCCCATCTGTATATTGCATCTCTGCCCTGGTGGCCCGAGGTGTCATGGGCCCACCAGACTCAAAATAATTCACCCTCCCCTTCAGCAGTTTTTGCAACTTGTCACTGGAGACTCCATACAGCTGCCTTCCATCTCTGACGCTTCCAAAGCTATGGAGGGGCCCAGCGGACTAGATATTTGCCCATACTGTCCCACACACCCTGCCACTCATGGTTGTCCAGTCTTGGGGAAATCTTTTTGTCCTCCTATATCGTCATCTAATCCTGGACAAGACCCAAACATGACTTCACTTAATTTTCAAGATCAGAGGAAAAGGTTGTGGATAAAACACAGTCTGTATGTGTGCCAACATGGTGATCCCCATCACAATCAGCAGGCAGGTCTCAAGGGTACCCAAAGGCATTCAAAACCTTCAGAACTCTCAAATGGTGCTGCTGTACTTGTCGCTGGGGCTGGATAGCTGCACTGTCTGCTGCAGTCAGAGTTTGAGTAGCTGCTGTACTTGTTGCTGGAGTTGGTGTAGCTGCTGTGCTTGGAGTTGGAGTAGCTGCGTTGTCTGTTGTAGACAGAGTTTGAGTAGCTGCTGTACTTGTCACTAGCGTGTGTGGGAATGTCTCCCTTATAGGCTGACCACCCAAGGAGGAAAAAGAAGATGTGTAATTGCTATACACTTCTATTATGTATCTCCCAAAGTATAGAAATGGTGACCACACTGGGAACGTAAGCCAGATCAGTTTCATGATCAATGAGTCTATTGTATTACAAGTCAATACCATAAAGTACAGTGAAACAAGAGCTTTAGCCCAAGCACCCCAGCCGATAAACACTAACACATGAAATACCGACTGTAAGTAAGGTACGACCTGCTGAAACTCCAAGATCAAGAGCAACAACTTTGAGAGCCAATAAATCAGCATTGTGATGAGTGACTGTTAATCTGAAACAATAAATGCTCCACAAATATGATTAGACATACTCTGGTAAGATTGTCACTATCTTAACCCTTCGTGCCCCATGTTGGGCACCAAAAAGAACTATCATGGTTTGAGCCCATCTGGCAACCCAGAACCATGCAGCTGCTCACTCACTCCCCACCCTTCCCTCACTCCCAGAGGTATGAGGAGGAGAATCGAAAGAATGTAACTCCCCCAGTTTGAGGTAGGAACAGTCCAGTAACTAAGGTATAACACAAACCACTGCTGCTACCACCAGTAATAATAATGATAAGGGAGATAACAAGGGAAGAGAATGCAACCACTCACCACCTTCCGACTGATGCCCAGCTGGACCCAAGCAGTGATCTAGCCCTGCCAGGTAACTACCCCCCAGTTTATATAATGGGCATGACATGCTGTGGTATGGAATATCTCTTTGGCTAGTTTGGGTCAGGTGTCCTGTCTCTGCTTCCTTCCGGCTTCCCCTCCTCCCTGGCAGAGCATGAGACTCAGAAAGACCTTGGTCAGAGTGTGCATTACTGAGCAACAACTAAAAACATCGGTGTTATCAGTGCTGTTCCTAGGCTGAAAGTCAGAAACACAGGACTGCGCCAGCTACTAAGAAGGAGAAAAACGACTGCTACTGTAAGTCACCCTAGAAATAATACACAGGCTCATCTGAGAGAAAAGAACCCATTTATTGAAATTCTCTGCAAAGACTCAAGATACTGAGATAGCCATGTTATATGAGGCATCTGCATATCATGGCCATGTTCTGTCCAAATGCTGGACTGGCTTCCTTTTTTTCTGGCTTACTCTTGATTCATCCAGTGAAGATGTGGGGCGTTGGGGCAGAGAGGAAAGGAAACAAAACTTTGGAAAAGGCCCCAAATGAATGGCTGTGTTGGAATTTTTCTGTCTGAACTAGAAGGGCATTTAAAAGATTGTCTTTTGATGATTTAATAGAATAACATTTCTAAATTGCTAAAAGCTTTTGTTGTTTTGTTACTACTGGAGAACAAATGAGGATACAGCAATGAGGGATGTTTTATAGAGCTGCTGGTATTTTAAGATTTGGTAGGCCTTATAGCCTGTATTCATTGGGCTTTGTATGTATTAGGGCAAAACTACTGTGTGACAGCACAAATGCTTTACAGTACTTTGAGTTATAAGTAGTTTTATGCATGCATAGCCATGTAACTTCAGCACGATTGGTGATAGAATGATATTTAATTTACCTACTAAAGAACATATTTTAATAAGGCCTTTGATTTTTCCAGGTATGGAGTGTTTGTACTATGGAAGTTGAAGTCTTCAGTATAAAGTGTTTTTTTAGAACGTATTTTCCTTCTAGAACAAGTATCTATGCCAGCCTACACACAGATACTTAGAGCTGTTTAATAACTGCTTTCTCCCATGGGGCTCTTTTGGCTCTGAAATAAGAACTAGCATGCTTAACCCTCATTAAAACAAATAGATTAATTTCTTACTAAAATGAAAAACTTCCTTTTAATCATTCTGCTTCATGCTATTAAGGAAAGTGTTCAATTATTGAAAGGCTGCTGTAATTTAATAGACTAGAAAGATTCTCTACTTCATTAAATTATATAAAATGCCAGGGGGTTTTTTGATAGACAATTTATTCACCTTGTATTTCTCAAAATATATAAGCTTTCATCTTATTTTAGGATGTCAATTTAAATCTCAAATTTGACCCATAGATTTTGAAAATAAAAATACTTTTCTCTGTAAAGTACTTAAAAGAATAATGTTGAGTACTTTCATAAGTCTAAGTCTTGTTAACTTCAAGAGCAGTGCTTCTTGTGAAGTAGAATTGCAGTCTACCTCTTAATATATACAAAGCAGGAAACATGTAAACTGCAGGCATCTTAATTAAAGCAACAAGAGGAAAAGGCAGGTGTTGGAGATGGTTGCACCTGTCCATGTAGTTGCCTATGGACAAGCTTCAAGTGGTACAGGTGTGAGGCGGCTGCCCTTCAGAAGCCATGTAAGCAAATGCAATATGTTGACCCTATGTTCATTGTGAATGTTGTTGCATTGTTGTCAACTTTGTTGGTACTTGACTGTTCATCTGAATTTTAACTTCGGGTAACACTGAATCTAATAGATTGTTTATTTTAATCTGAGAGTTAAATTAGAGGAATAACAGAGAAATAAAAATACCTACAGTAAACAAAGCCAAATTATGTTTGATAATGAGTTTTACTTAGATGATTTCAGTTTAAAAGATAAACCTGCTTTTTAATACTGTGGAGAGGGTTCGTATGATCACACTACATTACTGCAGAAATGTGCAGAAAAAGATCTCTGAGCTCTCTTATTTACAGGGTCTGTGCTGGTGTTTAGCCTGGGAAAAGAAATGCAGTTTTGAAGTGAATCTCACTGTCATTCCACCTTACTGTGATTTGGTTCATACCACATGATTGTTTGGTTAATGCAGACTTTTTTCTTTTTTTCCCCGTTTAAAAATATTCCCCTCTTCATAGAGAACCCTTCATGGTACTTCACTGTAGACTTCTGAAGAAAACTTAGTAAAGTTTTGAAAGTTATGAACCTTTTATTTCTACTGTGTTTAGCTTAACAGACAGAAACTATTAGTGAGAAAAATTGGTGGAGGCATGCTGTTTCCAAATCTCATGTACTTGCTTATCAGTTTCAGGATGTACTCATTTCAACAGGTTTAATGTATTTATTTGCATATCTCGGGAAGTTTGTGCTTTGTTTTGGTTTTGTATGAAACTTACCTATAATTACTCTACTTTTGCTAGTTACCAAG